GTCCAGAGAGTCATCAAGACCGTGTCCAAGAGGACTGAAAAGCAGCCTCCCTATCATTCATACCATCAAAGACGTGGCGGGAGAGAATTGAGGGTGCCCATTGGGCCAACTTGGCACAGTATGGGGCCTTGGGAGATCACAGCCCTCCTCAAGGACCCCCGTCCTGTGGCAACTTAGCCAGCAATGACCACAAAATGATTTAGTTCAGGATCCTGAGGAAAGGAAGGATGGAGAGCAGCAGAGTATGGACCCTGGACTTCAGAAAAGCAGGGGTCAGTCTCGCTCAATGTCTTCATCAATGACCTGGAAGATGGCATAGAGTGCACCCTCAGCTTGCAGATGACGCTAAGCTGGGGGGAGTAGTAGATATGCTCGAGGTTAGGGCTAGGATTTGGAGTGACCTAGACAAATTGCAGGATTGGGCCAAAGAAGGCTAACAGCACACTAGGCTGCATCAGTAGGAGTGTTGCCAGTAGGTCAAGGGAAGTGATTATTCCCTTCTATTCAGCACTGGTGAGGCCACATCTGGAGTACTGTTCAGTTTTGCCCTCTTTCTCCACCCCCCCCACTACAGAAAAGATGTGGACAAATTGGAGAGGGTCCAAACAAAAGTGGTGAAGGGGCTGGGGAACAGGATGTATGAGGAAAGACTGAGGGAACTGGGATATATAACTGGGATAACCCCCCAGCACGGGTTCGTGGCAGGCAGATCGTGCCTGACCAATCTAGTCTCTTTTCATGACCAGGTTACAAAACGCCTGGACACAGGAGGAGGGGTGGATGTCGTATACTTAGACTTCAGGAAGGCCTTCGATACGGTATCCCACCCCATACTGGTGAACAAGTTAAGAGGCTGTGACTTGGATGACTACACAGTCCGGTGGGTGGCAAATTGGCTTGAGGGTCGCACCCAGAGAGTCATGGTGGATGGGTCGGTTTCGACCTGGAAGGGTGTGGGCAGTGGGGTTCCGCAGGGTTCGGTCCTTGGACCGATACTCTTTAATGTCTTCATCAGTGACTTGGACGAGGGAGT